CCTCCAGCTTCAAACAACACCATAATGTTAACCTCTGTACATTGTGTTAAGTGAGATAATGGTAAAGTTCTTCAGTGAGTTCTTTAGTGTTTTTGTGAAGTGTTGAGGAGAACATCAGTACATTGTCTTGTGTGTGAGAGATTGTGAGGGATTCCTATAGTGAATCGAACCCGCGACCTGTACATCACCAAGTAAGATAGATTCTTCTCAGCCACCCAAGGAGGATGTGTGTGTGGGGGGAGAGTACCAGCATCAGGGAGGGGAGGGGAAGGGTGTCAGCGGCAGTAGCGTTGTGCAAGTGTTGATCAACCGTGTTCAGTGTAGCCTTGGCCAGTCTGTGGATGTAGGTGACCTAACGCCAACCCTCAATATACACCACAGGCCCTGACGGAGAAAGAGAGAGACAGACAAACAGAGAGAGACAGACAGATAGAGATACAGACAGACAAAGAGAGAGACAAACAGAGAGATGAAGACAGATGAACACGTACACACAGAGATAGCAGACAGACAAACCCGATAACAAGAGAGAGAGAGACAAACCCGATAACAAGAGAGACAGACAGAGAGAGACAGAGAACTAGATTGACTCCCCATTTACTAAGACACGTCTGGTTCTCATTGACGCGTGACCTGCTTTCAGAATCTCGTGCAGCCATTATTATTCCTTCCCTCGTCAATGTCTCGAGAGATCAGAGGACGGTAACTATTAACGGTAGAGTCTCGGTGTATTTTAGCCACCATTGTTGTTTTGTTTACTCTTAAGAGCCAATCATTTCGGAGGATCAAATTTTGATTTTTTTTTGGGTCTCATGAACGTAGTGTAATGATAATCTATTGTATACACACACACACACACACACACAGTCGATATTGTTTTGTCTACTTAATATGTGTACTGTGAGGACCATCAGGTGCACAGTAACGGCCGCCAGGTGCACTGTGAGGGCCGCCAGGTGCACTGTGAGGGCCGCCAGGTGCACTGATAGTTAGATCGCTTTGTGTCGTCAGTAGCATTGCAACAGTGACGATAACACCCTCCACTCCCTCCCCTCCCCCTCCCCTCCCCCTCCCCTCCCACCTCTCCCCTTCCCTTCCTCCCCCAATCCCCCTACTCCCCTTATTCCTCTCCCCTTCCTCCCCTCCCCTCTTCTCTCCTCTACCTTACCCCATTTCCTTCACCCCCACCCTCCCCCCCCTCCTCCACCCTTCTCTTCACCCTTCTCCTACCCCTCACCCTCATTCCTACCCCTCACCCTCATTCCTACCCCTCTAAACACTGCAGCTCTCACACTGACCACCACTCCCAGAATCCACGCGTATGAGGGTATGTAACTTTTGCTGATGGGTCGTTGTCCTCGGACCGCGCCAACCTGACCTCGTTCACCCTATGTGAAAGTGAAATTAAACTTAACCTAACCTAACCTACCTTAAACTATACTAACTTAACGTAACCTAACCTAACCTAACCTACCGTAATCTCACCTAACCTAACTTAACCTTTGAAACTTAACCAAACCTAACCTAACCAAGTAGTAACATGGATATCAACCAATGTCATGATAAACGAGAACCAATCGGCGATCACCAGACCCTCAAACGAGTGGATTGTGCCAGATTCCTCTCCTAGTTGTTATAGCGTACGGTAACAAGCTACTGTGCCATGTAGTGCAGCTCTCTCTCTCTCTCTCTCTCTCCTCTCTCTCTCTCTCTCTCTCTCTCTCTCTCTCTCTCTCTCTCTCTCTCTCTCTCTCTCTTGTACATCGCCCCCATGTTTCTGTACGGCTGACAGTTGTACAGTGGTTAGAAGGCTACATGTACAGTATGTTATCACGGAGACACCTGCTACCTGTCACAGACGTCAGAGGGTGAGGGAGGAGAATGAGGAATAAGAACAAGATAAGGAGGCAGTGGGGGAGGGAGGTGTAAATAGGGGAAGGAGTGAGGGAGGGGGAAGGGAGGTAGGGAGTGAGAGAGTAAGGGAAGGAAGGAGTGAGGGAGGGAAGGAGTGAGGAGGGAGTGAGGAAGTAAGGGAAGGAAGGAGTGAGGGAGGAGGGAAGAGTGAAAGGAAGGGAGGGGCTGAGAGGTGAGAGGGAGGGAAGATAGAGAGAGAGAGAGAGAGAGAGAGAGAGGAGATGAGAGGAGGGAAGGAGAATGAAGAGCAAGGAAACGGAAATAGTGAGTGTGGGGAAGGGTGAGAGAGAGGAGGAAGGAGTGAGAGGGAGGAAGGAGTGAGAGAGGGAGGAAGAGGAGTGAGAGAGAGGGAGGGAAGAGGTAGAAGTGAGGGGAAGAGGAGTGAGAGAGAGAGGGGGAGGAAGAGGTAGAGAGAGAGTAGGGGGAAGAGGGTGAGAGGGGAAGAAGTCATGGAGTAGAGGTAATGTGTACCTCGGCTAATTACTTGACGGAGGAAGCAGTGGAGTCTCTCTCTCTCTATATATATATATATATATATATACTACCTGCCTCTCTCTCTCTCTCTCTCTCTCTCTCCACCATGTATGCATCGCAATCATCACTATCAACCTCCATCACCAACCACCACTATCAACCACCATCACCAACCACCACTATCAACCACCACTACCACAATCATCAACCATCACCATCAACCACCACAACCAAAACAACAACCACCACCAACAACCACCACCACTATCATCAACCACAACAACCACCACGACTACCACCATCAACCACCACCATCAACCACAATCACCACTATCATCAACCACCACCACTAACACACATCAAAACCCTTCAACAACCATCAACTAATCACAGCCCTGTGTGTGTGTGTGTGTGTGTGTGTGTGTGTGGACGAACAGACAGACAGACAGACAGACAGACAGACAGACAGAATCAAGGCCTCAGCTGTGGTAGTTTTGGGGTTGCCTTAATAAGCTAAATCTGTATTCATGAGGAAGCTAAACACAGGCACAGATGTTGTAGCTGAGTTGAAGAGAGATTAGTGAGCTAAGCCGATCCCAGCCAGTTAATCTTCCCGCCTGTCAGTTAATCTTCCCACCTGTCAGTTAATCTTTCAGTCAGTTAGTCTCCCCGCCAATCAGTTAATCTTTCATTCAGTTAATCTCCCCGCCTGTCAGTTAATCTCCCCGCCTGTCAGTTGATCCTTCACCTGCCAGTTAATCTTTCAGTTAGTCTCCCCGCCTGTCAGTTAATCTCCCCGCCAGTCAGTCGGTTTGTCTCCCCACCAATCAGTCAGTTAATCTCCCCGCCAGTCAGTCAGTTTGTCTCCCCACCAGCCAGTTAGTCTCTCAGCAGTCAATTTGTCTCCCTGCTAGGCTTACAGTCAGACTCCTACCTAGTCTCCCAGCCTGTCAGTTAGTCTCCCAGCCTGTCAGTTAGTCTCCCAGCCTGTTAGTTAGTCTCCCAGCCTGTCAGTTAGTCTCCCCGCCAGTCAGTTGAATTCCCGCCAGTCAGTTACTCTCCCGCCAGTCAGTTACTCTCCCCAGCGGCCCGTTAGCTAGCTAGCCATTCAGATGCAGTTATTCAACCACCCTGCCTACCCATCCACCCACCCACCCACCCACATGCACCAACCCACCCACCCACCCACCCACCTACCCACACCACCCACTCCCCCACATCCACCCACTCCCCCACACCCACCCACCACATCCACCCACCCACCCACCCCACCCACATCTACCCACTACCCCACACCCCACCCACCCCATCCACCACTCCCCCCACCCACCCACCCACGTGCGACCACAGGCTTTAGCATTACGTATTGTGTGTGTGTGTGTGTGTGTGTGTGTGTGTGTGTGTGTGTGTAATTAAGCCGGATGCAGCGGCTTTGTACTGTGGATAATTGATTCTGGAACACCTGAGTACTGTATGTCTGAGTGTGTAGCGTGTATGTCTCAGTGTGTATGTCTGAGTGTGTGTGTGTGTAGTATGTATGTCTGAGCGTGTGTGTGTGTGTGTAGGAGTGTATGTATTTTGTTGGACACACACACACACACACCGCAGCTATGATGTTTATATTAAGAAAAGACATTATTATTATTATTATTATTATTATTATTATTATTATTTTTATCATTATTATTATTACAGAGGGGGGGGGGACATCGTTAGTGCATTAACTGCTAATTAGTGGATATGTGGTGGTCTGCTGATGTTGCTCTGAGTGCCTGGTGGTGGAGGTAGTGGTGCAGGTAATAGTGGTGGTGATAGTGGTGCTGGTGATGGTGGTTATGATGGTAGTGGTGGTGCTGGTGGTGATAGTGATGGTAAAGGTGATGTGATGCATTATTGATGATGAATAGTTATGATGAGGTTAATAGTCTTGATGGAGATGCTGATAATGACTGTAGAGTGCAGATTGTAAAACTCAGGATGATGAGGATGATGACTACTGGTGATGCTAGTTAGCGTTGTTGTTGCTGCTGCAGTCATCGTCGTCAATAGGTCAAGTCATCGTTATCAAGGGGTCAAGTCATTGTCATCAAGGGGTTAATTCATCATACTCAATGGTTAAGCGTACTCAAGGGATTAACTCATCGTCAAGGGTGTAATTCATCATACTTAAGGGATTAAGTCATCGTATTCATGGGATTAAGTTTTCATCATCAAGGGGTTAAGTCATCGTACTCAAGGGATTGTCATCATCATCATCATCATCAAGGGGTTGAAGTTATAGTCATCAAGGGGTTAAGTCATCGTCATCAATGGGTTAAGTCCTCGTACTCAAGAGACCAGGAACTCTACTCAATGCTACAATATGACATGCCTTGTTTAAGTGAGAAAGCTATACTCGTTTTAACATCTCCAGGTAAGGCAAAAATCATGGTGTGAATCCGTTCAGAGTTTTGGTACCTGGGTCGTGGTAGGAGATACTGTACTATAAGCCAACTAGCCCCGCGGTGGTAGCTGTAACTTTCTCCTTCTGTGCTAGTTGGGGGTGAGGTGGGGGGTTGTGGGCGGGGCGTGGTGTATGAGGGTGGGGCACGTGTTACAAGGCGCGTGGAGTACGGTTGATGGTCAGTTAACCTCCGCCGTGCGTCTTGACAGCACTTGGTTTACGTGTGTTTGTGTGTGTGTGTGTGTGGAGTTTGTTGGGTAAGTTGAAGATGTAAAAGTGTCGGGGGTAGTGAGTGAGTTTTGTTTTTTATCATTTTGGGAGTTGGTTGTGTGTGTGTGTGTGTGTGTGTGTGTGTGTGTGTGTGTGTACCGAAGTGAAGCCTATCACCCTCAACACCGACACAGCTATAGTATTGGGTCGCTTTTGATTACATTGGATTCGAATTACACACAGCTGTCTAACTTTTTACTTTTTGTTTTTACAACATTTCCCCGTCAGCTGCAACACTGATGTAGAGAGTTGTCGACCTGTTCCTGTCACATCAAAGTTCCCCCACCTCACTCACGTCTCTCTAATCCCTTATTTTAAGCACCAATCACTCATTCCATCCCATCCTCTCATTCAAATTTTGTTTCTCCTCACCACAAAATATTTATCGTTTGTAAACTCGAGTCACGTCCCCGTTTAAAACTCCTCCTCCCATAATGTTTACAAAGTGTGTGTGTGTGTGTGTGTGTGTGTGTACAGTATCCTGGAGGCCAACACCCGACACGTAGTTCAGAAAACTTTGGTGTATTGGTTGAGTGGTGGTGAAGACCCTCTTGGTAATGAGGGAGGGGTGATGGATGTTCACCCCGGCCTGACTACCTAACACACAACAGGGCCGCTAGAGTTTTTTCTTCTCTTCCTTGAGTTTATTCTCCAGCCAGAAGAGATGATTAGCGATTGTTTGTTTGTGTTTGTGTGCGGGATGGGTGAGGCGGATGGATGTGTTGGTGAATCTGTGTAGGTGAGCGTGTAGGTGTGTGTGTGTGTGTGTGTGTGTGTGTAGGTAGGTTTATATATGTATGCTTGCGAGAGATAGAGAGAGAGAGAGAGCGAGAGATCAAAGGATTGTAAAAATTAATTCATCGTCCAATTTTGAAGGGATTTTTACACGGCTGGTCACAGCGGCTGTATATTGCATGTTACCATTCCACCTAACTCTACCTGTCCATCCTACCTAATGAGGCAACTTAACCCAATTAATCCTCCACGTATCAGCTTACGGGGTCTCTTGACGTCACGCTTCACAAACTGAACGAAATCGGACAAGAATATATCAACTTTTTCTCTTATTTGGTGAACCTGTTGAGACTTTTACGATCTGTCATGTCTGGAAGTTGACGAAAGAAAAACAAGATTATGTGAAGTATTTTTCCTCCACACTGGACGAAAGTTTATTTACCTTTACCGCCAGAGGTGTTGTGGGTATATCGATTTGGTATAAAGTTGTCACAGCAAGATGAGTGACGGCCCAGGGGGGTACTGTGTGTGTGTGTGTCATTTGGTGCTGAATATTAATTTGTTTTGTATATCGTTAAGAAAGTTATATTTTCATTGTTGTTATAATTTACGAAATTTATGTAGAGTTTGTTTCATAACTCACTTAGTTTATGTAGAATATGTTTCATAACTCGCTAAGTTTATGTAGTTTGTTTTATAACTCAGTGCGAAAGTTAGTGTGACGTTCATACACCGACAGAGAGAGTTAGTGTGACGCTTGTACACCGACAGAGAGAGTTAGTGTGACGCTTGTACACCGACAGAGAGAGTTAGTGTGACGTTCATACACCGACAGAGAGAGTTAGTGTGACGCTTGTACACCGACAGATAGAGTTAGTGTGACGCTTGTACACCGACAGAGAGAGTTAGTGTGACGCTTGTACACCGACAGAGAGAGTTAGTGTGACGCTTGTACACCGACAGAGAGAGTTAGTGTGACGCTTGTACACCCACACAGTGAAAGCTGGTGAAGTCTCTTATCAACTCACCGAGGAATTTTGCATGTTGTGTTTACCGACGCTGACGTAACACTGGCAACTCTCACTCAACAGCAGAAACGTTCTCACTTAACACGTAAAAGAGACGGGTCGATTTAATCATCCCTCTAAAATACCTTGAAAGATCCCGTTACGAACACTCACTCGCTCACTCACAGAACATAATATAGATGGAGCTATTCCCCCACACGGTGAAAACAACGCCAGCAGGAACAATTATCTGTATCTGGTATTTTCCTCGTAAAAACAGATGTTCGCCCGCCTTCTGTCAGCAGCGTCGTCAGATCTGTGTGGTTTCAGTTCAATTTTTCCTCAGTTAAGCTCCGTGTCTTGTATGTACTAGTAGTTGTAGTGAGAAACTGATTTGTTAATTGGGCTCCACGTGCTAATGGGCCCCAATCCTAATGGTGGCAGTCCAAGTAGTTAGATTACCTTGTTAGGGCCCATTAGGACTGGGGCCTACGTGAAGTACACAGGCTTCAAGATAGTGGCTGTGATACATGACCGTACACGACCAAAGATAGAAACCATTTTATTCCTCCTGTCGCTACTAAAGTGACTCTTAATTGGCAGTTTATAATTACAAAGGAATTGTTTACTGTGTACTTGGTGATCATATTACCTCATGGACTGTATGTGTCTTTGTTTGTGTCAGGTTATGTTTGTCGCTGTTTTTGTCCGTAAAGAACGTTTGTGCTTTGTGTTTTGTGGATATGTGTATGGTTGTTTGTGATGAGAGAGAGAGAGAGAGAGAGAGAGAGAGAGAGAGAGAGAGAGTCCAAACTCTTCCTTAGACTCTCACATCTCTCATTCAGAGGCGTCGATCCTATAATGAAGACAGGTCCTAACATCTATACTTGGGAAGGAAAAGATTAAAGGTTCTGACATCTATAACTTGGGACGGAAAACAAATGACTATCGAGATTTTGGATAACTTTTAAAAGAGTCTTGGAATATGTGCCCTAAACCCATGAAAATATATATAGCTTTACGACTGAATGAGTGAGTGAGGGAGTGAGTGAGTGAGGGACAAGTTCTCGACACAATAAGAGTTTCTCCAACAAAAGTTACGAGACAAAAGACTCATGGTAGTTACATACATACATACTGACTACATTTCCTTCTAGGTTGAGGGAAATTTTTAACTTACGATCATTTTTTGTGTGAATCTTGGTCCCAGCAACACCCACACAATGCACGATAGTTTCTCTCGGTGAACGACAGGCGGTCAATAATTTCTCACTGGACTACTGGTAACCAATAATGTCTCTCAATGAACGACGGGTAACCAACAATATCTCTCAGTGAACGACAGGTAACCAACAATATCTCTCAGGTGAACGACAGGTAACCAACATTTCTCACTGGACTACTGGTAACCAATAATGTCTCTCAATGAACGACGGGTAACCAACAATATCTCTCAGTGAACGACAGGTAACCATTAATTTCTCACTGGACTGCTGGTAGCCAATAATGTCTCTCGGTGAACGACAAGTAACCAACAATTTCTCTCCTTCCTACAGATTCACCAAGACCTTGAGCCAGGATGAAGGCGTGGAGGGGCTTGATACTCCTGCTGGCGGCGGTGGCGACGGTCATGGTGTCGTCAGAGCACCTGGAGGAGGCGGAGGAGGAGGAGGGAGAGTTGCTGGGGATCAAGGTTAGTCTCAGTACCTTACCTGCATAAATCGTCATGTTTATCCACTATGCTTCCATGCTATGTAGATATTTATACAATGTGCGATATTTTGCTGTTTTTGTGTCCGTCGACCATCCATACGTTCGTGTTCATATCCATCCATCCGTCCGTTCTGTCCGTCTATGTGCGTCTTATATTATCAATGATTATTATCTCCACCTTACAAACATAATTATTTAATATTTTTGTCGGGGTACGATTCACAAACACGCGGTTGACTGACTCCACCCTGTAGTTATGTCACACACACACACACACACACACACCAAAATTTAACTGTTACACTGTATTTTGATTTTAGCCTTTGATCTACACACTGTAATGGACTGAAACTCTCATATACTGAAATATACACCTTTGATCATGTTTTTTTTTGTAACGTGATTGATATGATGTGATTTATTTGATTTAGTTTGTTATAATATTATGTGATTTGATTTTTCAACATTGGAATTTTAATTATTTATGAACTTAATCAATCCGGATTATTTCATGTCGTGTTTTTTGTAAATAATTTTTTTATGTATTGTTATTAAATCGACAAAAAATATATTACAATTTTGTGGAGGAAATTAAAAAAAAAATATATATATATTAGACAAATCTTAACTGTTTGAGATATTTGGTTCTTAAAGCTACATAATGGTACAAAATGATACATAAAGATACATAATGATACATAGATACATAATGATACATAAAGATACATAATGATACATAGAGATACATAATGATACATAATGGTACAAAATGATACATAAAGATACATAATGATACATAGATACATAATGATACATAGAGATACATAAAGATACATGATAAATAAAGGTACATAATGAGACTTAAAGATACTGCCTAGTCTTGGTATGATTTTGACGCTATTTTGGTTGGCCATTTTCGTGTTTTAACTTTAGTGAGTCCCTTTAGATGCCCCCGTGGCCATACGGCGTGTCTTTATGGCCACATTTCTTACCTCTATGGCCACATTCCATACCACCATGGCCACCCTCCATATCACCGTGGCCACCCTCCATACCTCCATGACCACACTCCATACCTCCGTGGGCACACTCCATACCTCCGTGGCCACACTCCATACCTCCGTGGCCACACTCCATACCTCCGTGGCCACACTCCATACCTCCGTGGCCACACTCCATACCTCCGTGGCCACACTCCATACCTCCGTGGCCACACTCCATGCCGCGGGGAGGGAAATATTGAAAACTTTTAATTAACACATTCACGAGAAAAAGTTACGGATTGGTACCAGTTTTTGCCCCAACAACTTATTGCCCGCCTCGCTACTGCCCACTGACTTATTGCCCGCCTCGCTACTGCCCACTGACTTATAGCCCGCCTCACTACTGCCCACTAACTTATTGCCCGCCTCGCTACTGCTCACTGACTTATTGCCCGCCTCACTACTGCCCACGTCGCTACTGGCCACTAACTTATTGCCCGCTTCTCTACTGCCCACTAACTTATTGCCCGCCCACCGATATATTGCGCACCAAAGGATTGTCCTGTCATTCGATTAACCATTTCCCACTTACATATTTTTCAATACATTGTCTACCAAAATAATCGCCCATTGCTCACCTTTATAATTGCCCACCCAAATAATTGCCCCCTCACATAATTGCCCACCCAAATAATTACCCACCCAAATAATTGCCAACTCACATAATTGCCCACTCACATAATTGCCCACCCAAATAATTGCCCACTCACATAATTGCCCATCGACACAAATAAGATTGAGATTGCTGGTCAACACCTGAGCTTCAGAGGTACTCATGTGTAGAACTGATTAGTCATATGTGATCGTGAACACACACACACACAGACCGTATTATTATTGTATTTCAGCTTATCTGTGTGTGTGTGTAATAATAATAATATAATATAACGGTTTAGTTTCAATAAACCGTTATATTTTATTATTATTACACAGACACACACGGGATTAAGACAATGCATAATGTAAATACGGTCACAAATACAAACAAGCTCTCTCTCTCTCTCTCTCTCTCTCTCTCTCTCTCTCTCTCTGCGCTCAACGACACAGAGAGAGCTGATTCCACACTGTGATCAATTCCATTTTGAAAGTGACGGACGAAATTTGCTTCTGAGATTCAAGAGTCTTTGTACTCATGTGAGTCTTTGTCCTGAAGTGTAATTATAGAGAGTCTTTTCTTCATGTGAATCTTTGTACTGAAGTGAGAGTCTTTGTCCTCAAATGTAATTTTAAAGAGAGTCTTTCCTCATGTGAGAGCCTTGTCCTGAAGTGCCTTTGTACTGAAGTGAGAGTCTTTGTATCGAAATGTAATTATAGAGAGAGTCTTGTCCCAAGTGTAATTTTAAAGAGTCTTTGTCCTCATGAGAGCCTTTGTCCAAGAGCCTTTGTACTGAAGTGAGAGCTTTGTATCGAAATGTAATTATAGAGAGAGTCTTTGTCCTCGTGTAATTTTAAAGAGAGTCTTTGTCCTCATGTGAGAGCCTTTGTCCTGAAGTAAGAGCCTTTGTCCTGAAGTGAGAGTTTTGTCCTGAAGTGAGAGTCTTGTATCGAAATGTAATTATAGAGAGAGTCTTTGTCCTCAAGTGTAATTTTAAAGAGAGTCTTTGTCCTCTGAGAGCCTTTGTCCTGAAGTAAGAGCCTTTGTCCTGAAGTAAGAGCCTTTGTACTGAAGTGAGAGTCTTTGTATCGAAATGTAATAGAGAGAGTCTTTGTCCTCAAGTGTAATTTTAAAGAGAGTCTTTGTCTCATGTGAGAGCCTTTGTCCTGAAGTAAGAGTCTTTGTCCTGAAGTAAGAGTCTTTGTCCTGAAGTAAGAGCCTTGTCCGAAGGAGCCTTGTCCTGAAGTAAGAGTCTTTGTCCTGAAGTAAGAGTCTTTGTCCTGAAGTAAGAGTCTTTGTGCTGAAGTATATAGAATCTTTGTTCAGAATTTGTCTCTATGTACTGTAGGGAGAGAAAATAGAGAAGAGGAGGAAGAGGAGAATTAGTGTGAGGGGAGGGAGAGCGTTACTAAATGGAGGAAGAGTGAGGGAACTGTTCTCTCATCTGTCTCTGTGTCTTTCTTCTTCTCCTTTGACTTTCTCTTTTTAACCTTTATATTTATCTTTTTCTGTTTTCTTCATTCTTTCTCTTTCTATTTCGTTCTCCTATTTTCTTTTATTTTTTCTCTCTCTCTCTCTCTCTCGCTCTCTTGGAAGGCTAGATATATACCAACTAGTGATAAGTCCCTCTCTGGCCAGATGTTAATACCAGCTGGTGATGGGCACTAACCGGCCATCAGCCTCTTAATGGAATGATGATGTTTTAATGTATTATATCTGGTGGTGGGGCAGGTCTAATGTCTCTCTCTCTCTCTCTGCCTCTCTCTCTCTCTCTCTCTCTCAGGTTCGTGTCACGAGATCTATTTTTTGTGTTACTAACCACCATCACCCTACCACTTCCTCAACAACCACCATTACCTTCAACAACCACCATTACGTTCAACAACCACCATTACGTTCAACAAACCATTACCTTCAACAACCACCCATCAACCAACATCAAAAACAAGAACGACAATTAATCACCAACCAGCACCCGGCCACCCATCACAACCACTTCCATCACCTTCCACCAACCACCAACCACCACTACTCCTTCCACAGCTACCACTAACCCTTCTCTACCACTATCCCTTCTACCACTACCCCTTCCATCACTCTCACCCCTTCCACCCACTACCCCCTTCCACCACTACCCCTTCCACCACTACCCCTTCCACCGGGAGGTTTAGGAAGCGTCCCCCGTGATACACCTGGCCTGAGTCTTACCCCTTCAGGTTGTTGACAGAGGAGAATAAATTAACTTCCCCAATTAACACAAATCTGAGATCACTTGGGGGAGGGGTACAGTAACTCTCTCTCTCTTCTCTCTCTCTCTCTCTCTCTAGCCACTATGATTGCTGTATTATCACCTGCCACCTCCTCTCCCCCCCCCTCCCCAGAATCCCTTCCTTCTTTCCCCCTCTCCCTCCCTCCGCAAAACCCCTATCTTCCCCCACCTCCTCCCCCAGGACCCTCACCTTCTCCCTCCCCAGTACCCCTCTCCCTCCCCCCAGGACCCTATCTCCCTCCCTCCCCAGGACCCCTACCTTCCTCCCTCCCTCCCCTCACCAACCCCTACCTTCTCTCCCTCCTCAGGACCCCCACCCACACTACTACTCAACCTTGACACGTGAGCCAGTACTATAGGGATGTGGGAGCATAATGTATGGAGGTATTTATATAATGTACACACACACACACACACACAACACACACACACACACACACACACACAACACACACACACACACACAGACACACACACACACACACACACACACAGACACACAGACACACACACACACACACACACACACACACACACACACACACACACACACACACACACACACACACACACACACACACACACACACCCACACCCTTCCCTCCCTCATAAGAACTTTCAGCTGTGTTTTTGGTTTGTTTTAGGAATGTAAACACGACGCTCAGTAATAACTAGGAAGAAGGAAAACTTGCCTCCATGAATATCAAACAGTGTTGCATATCTCTCTCTCTCTCTCTCTCTCTCTCTCTCTCTCTCTCTCTCTCATTTAACTTGACCTAACTGGCCTCTCCTATATTAAATCGACAGGAATACACACATATTAGGCCTCAGTTCTCACTAAATTATATGCTAAAAGTTTCCCTTCTTCAACATAAACAATCTCATAAGTCACAACAAACAATAAACAAACAAACTAACAAACATTGAGTGTATTGTAAACAGTTGGTATAACTTGTGTACATGAAAAAGGCCGTTGGAGTGAGGGATTTACATACATACATACATACATACATACATACATACATACATACAATTTAACAAGTCGACGGTTAACCACTAAATACCGTCATGCT